TGCTTAAACAGTGTGTGAACATGTCTTTTTCCATCTGCTTCTATTCAAAAGTGTGAGAGCCTCATATATGTGACAGAGTTGTACCTCCACAGAGCCAGAGCCAGTGCAGACCTGCTGTTCCCCGAGCACAGACACCTGATCTGGGCCTGAGACAAAGCCTGCAGCCGGGTCACCCCATTAGCCGCTAATGCACAGGAAAGTTGATGCATGTTGTTGTGTTATGGGTGGGAGTGGGTTTAAATAAAAGACGAGCGTTAACTCTTTGCAGCGTTGTGGAGAATAGGCCCACTGTATCCCAGCGGACCTGCCCTCTCCGCGCTGTGGGAACCGTTTGTGTGAGCGCTCTGCTTTTCCAAAGCAGGATGTCTGAACCTGTGCTTCACAAACTGCTCGTGGGGATGGAGTTACATGCTTTTACCCCATACAGTCCCAGGAGGATGCACTTAGCTTTCTCAGGCGCAGCAAAACATGACAACCTTTTCAAAAGAGACAGAAACAGGACTTCAACTTGGACGCACGGAGGATGTGAGCAGTGTTAAGTTGCACTCAGGGCAGAGGGCCAGATAAAGCCTATTCATAGGTTTATATGGCCTTCAGAAAACAACTTTGAAAAGCAACTTCTAAACTGGTTATTGATGGATTATAAGAAATGATCTATAAATGTTGCTTCTGGTCATGACAAACAATTAAACAACAGTATTATTGCTTCTTTTGTATGGATACACAAAGGCAATACAACTTACAATAAATTCTAGACTATAAACAGCTACTTTTTTCTCACACTTTGAATCCTGAGGCTAATAAAACGATGTGGCGAATATTTATTTAATATTTAATATCTTTGTTTGGCGCATTGTCCATTCATATATACAGTCTACAGTTTGGCAACACAGCGGATACACACAGTCTGAGTGCAGAAAACACCGCCGTCTGTGTGGTTCCACGTGGATGTAGGGTGAACATGAAGCTGCTACACTAGCTCACGATATTGTCTCAAATAGTTTATCGCCATGTGATAAAATAAGTTGTGATGCTAAATAAACATTAGTGAGGGGGAAACATCTTACCCGTATGCATAAATAACGAGAAGAATCATCTCAAAGTTCAGTAGTCAGACATCCAACTGACTGATAGAATTAACCCCGCCCCCGAGAGAGTCTGAAATCTGCTGAAATCCTCCAAGACACTGACATGATCGAGACAACCGAGGAAGATGCTGTTTGATTGTGTTTTGAACTGTTTTTTTGCTCTTCATACACACACCCTCCTCGTGGAAAACACACGAACAAATGCAGATGATGCAGCTTTTAAGTTAACGACGATTGATGTGGCTGTGGAAGAAGGAAACAGAGTCGCTTCAGTCAGTCAATGGCAGCGTGACAAACTGACTCTAGGTAAAGAGACGACAAAAGCTTCAGAGGCGATAAAAGCAGACGACCTGAACTTGGAAACGTTCCTGAAGTCGTGGACACCTGCGGTTTATATTCAGGTGTGGTCAATAGTCCGGGAAATGCAATATTAAAAAGATTTACACAGGCCCCATGACTGACTATAGCTCATATCACCTGGCCTATAAGACTGACAGTAGAATACTAAATGGACCTGTTTTGTTCTGCATTAGATAATGTTCAGAAAAAGACTGTTTTCAAAAACTCTACCCTGCCCATGTCTCTGTCTTTTTCAACATGTTAACTTAAAGTAGTGAAAGTTTTAAAGCTTGTTGTCAATACCACACTGTTTTGGAAATAAAGCTATTTATTTATCATCCCTTCATGTCAGTCTGAATGTCCTGGAGCTCACAAAAACCAAAGTACAGTCCAGGTAGGAAAAGACTGTTTTCACTTGTAGCTTTATGCGAAAATATCGTACTTTCCGAGTTATTAGACGCGCTCTTAAACCTCCAACCCCATCAAAAAACGACTGCGCACCACAACCCAGAGCACGACTTCAGTAAACTATAAAGCTGCACCACCCGCAGACAGTGTTGGGGAGTAACAGATTACATGTACCGGAGTTACGTAATCAGAATACAAATTATTATTATTATTTTTTATTTTTTTAATGCCACTCATTTCCGGACACTAAACCAGGTCTAAAACCAAGTCAAACTAGGTCTAAGCCAGGACTAAATCCAGGACTAAAACCAGGTCTAAAACCAGGTCTAAACCAGGTCTAAACTGGGACTAAACCAGGACTAAATCTGGACTAAAACCAGGACTAAAACCAGGACTAAACCTGGACTAAAACCAGGACTAAAACCAGGACTAAAACTAGGACTAAAATCAGGTCTAAACCAGGTCTAAAACCAGGTCTAAACCGGGACTAAACCAGGAGTAAAACCAGTTCTAAACCAGGTCTAAAACCAGGTCTAAACTAGGACTAAACTCAAACTAAACCAGGACTAAAACCAGGTCTAAACCAGGACTAAAACAGGATTTAACAGGACTAAACCAGGACTAAACCAGAACCAAAACCAGGACTAAACCAGAACCAAAACCAG